TGTGGATAACCTACTGATCACAGGGAACCATGATAAGTTATTGTGTGACACCAGAGTAGAGTTGCAGAAGAAGTTCAAGATGAAGGACTTAGGGGAATTGAAATGCTTCCTGGGAATTGAATTTTCCAGATCAAAGGAAGGGATCCTTATGTGTCAAAGAAAGTATGCACTTGAGTTAATATCTGAAGCAGGTTTAGGTGGAGCAAAGCCTTCTGGTACACCATTGGAGTTGAATCAAAAACTCACATCTGTAGAGTATGACAAGTGCATTCAGAACTGAAAACAAGAAAGTGATCAGGAGCTCAAAAGTCCTAGCTGTTATCAGAGACTTGTTGGGAGGCTGTTTTATCTCACCATGACCAGACCAGATATTGCCTTTGCAGTGCAGGTTTTGAGTCAGTATATGCATTGTCCCAAGGTGTCTCACATGGAAGCTGCTCTTAGAGTAGTCAGATACATCAAACAAGCACCAGGCTTGGGGTTACTTATGCCTGCAGAAAGTACAGACAAGCTGATTGCTTACTGTGATTATGATTGGGGATCATGTATAGAGTCAAGGAGATTAGTAACTGGGCACTTGGTTAAATTTGGAAATGCACTGGTGTCTTGAAAGTTAAAGAAATAAATGGCTGTATCTAGAAGCTCAGCTAAGGCTGAGTTCAGAAGTATGACTTCATGTGCAGCAGAAGTCACTTGGATGGTAGGGTTGTTCAAGGAACTTGGAGTCAAGATTCAACAGTCTATAAGTCTGATATGTGACAGCAAGGCTGCTATACAAATAACAGTCAAACCTATCTTCCATGAAAAAACTAAACATATTGACATCGATTGCCATTTTGTTAAGGAGAAAATATGTGAAGGGCTACTGAAGACAGAGTACGTACATACTAAAGACCAGCTAGCAAATTTACTGACAAAGAGCTCGGGAAAGTTTCAACATGATCAGTTACTAAACTAGTTAGGAGTGAAGAATCTGTATCAACCATCAGCTTGAGGGGGAGTGTTGACTAAAGTTAGTGAACAAGCTATAAATTAACTATAGTTAACTATGTAACTGTAGTTGAAGGTTAGTTAGTTAGTATAATATTAGAAGTTAGTATAGTATAGTACAATATAAATACACTGTACTCATTGTATAAACGATAGACAATATCAATTCTTCTTCTTCTTCTTCTTCTTCTTCTTCAAAATAACAGAATTTTATTCCTTCATTTGCATGTTTTCTTCCTCAAGCTCAATCCTTAGATCTATGGCAGCTAACACAGAGTGCAGACACCAACTGAAGTTAATAAATAGCTTTGGAGAAATTTGAAGTCCTCAACAAATTTGTGACAAGTATGCAGTTTTCTTTTTTCTCTTACTTAAGTTGATATTTAAAATGTTTTTTTATTTTTTGGGAATAATATTGTTGTTGTAATTTTAGCTAGTTAATTGGGAATGTGAAACTTCCCTTGTTGAATTTAGATTCTTTTACAAATTATAAACCAGTATGATCATATGCAATTGTTAATTTTGTTATCTCTTTTTCTTTCCATTATGCTTTTAGAAAATTGTCCTGTTATTAAGTATGAAAATGCATTTTCCTTTATGTGAGAGATTTTTTATTTCGAGCAGCTGCAATTTAGGTTAACCACAAGTGAAATATTGGTTGGGATTTAGAGTTACATGCATAATTCGATTGAGAAGGTTAATTTGCTGAGGGAAAATAGGAAAAAAAAATGCTAGAGCATGCATTTGAGAAGAAGAAGATCTGGTTCACCATTCTACTCGGAAGTTTAGGTAATTTGGAGGAAAAGAAATAACAGATGCTTTGAAGGAAAGGTTGACACTATATACAAGTTAAAATGTGCTTGCATCAGTTAGCTATAGGTGACTTGAAGAATGTATATTAGTCAAATATCTCTATAATAGCTTAGTTTGTTCCGAATATTTTTGGATGTTATAGCGAAGTGTTGTTATAGAGAACATATATTTTAACATAACATAAAAATTGGTTCTGAAAAAGTTTGGCTTTTATAGTGAAGTGTTGTAAAGGCATAGGTAAGCGAGTTAGCTCGAGGAAAGAATTGGAGTCAAAACACATGTGTTCAGAGGATCCTGAATCAATAATCCAAGTTTTAGTGTTAAACACTACTAGACAGATTCCAGAGTATTTGAGTACTGTACCAGCCACATCATTAGCATTAATCTCTGTCCCTCCATTTTTTGTGTGTCCAATGTGCACCTGTTTGATTAGGTTAACCAGCTCTGAGAGTTGTTCTTTGCTGATGTGCTGATTGTGATTGTCCACTGATCCTTCGCCAGGAGGATTATTGGTGCAGTCATCTTCCTTAGCTCCAAGTACTGTATTAGCCTTAGCTGATACATGTTTGATTTGGTGAATTGGAAGTCTTTTGGAAACTCTATCAACCTGTAACAGTATGTCCTGACATGTCCTGTTCTCATACAATGGCTGTAGCTCACATTAGGATTATATTTAGTCTTCCTAGCCTTGAACTTTTGTTGAGTGTTTCCAGATTTTTGTGATGCATTCCAAGTCTTTTGAGTTTGATTGTTGTACTTCTGTGGACTCCTTGTTTGTGCACCTACCATAAAAGATAAAGCATCACTGGGATACTGTGGGTTGATGTATCCTTCCTTTTGACCTTCATCCTGTAATAGCAAAGAATAAGTCACATCCATAGTTGGAAGAGGGTTCATCATCAGGATGTTCCCTCTTGCCTGACCATATGCATCATTAAGTCCCGTAAGGAATTGGATGATCCTTTGATCTTCCATAAACTTGGCTTGCTTCTTTCCTTCACACACACAGTCACAGGTGCATCTTAAATGTGAGTTTAGAGAACCCAGCTCATCCCACAACCTTTTCAATGTGGTAAAGTATCCTGCTATATTGTTGTTTTCTTGTACTGATCTTGCTATTTTCTTCTGTAGGTGATATAGTTTGGCCCCGTTTGACTGGCCAAATCTATGCCCAAGACTACCCTAGAGTTCCTTTGCACTTTTTGAGTAGAGGACACTGTCTCCAATATATTTGGATAATGAATTGAGCAGCCATGAAGTCACCGTGTCATTGCACCTGCTCCAAAGTGCATAGTCTTTGGAAGTCAGGGGTGGTGCAACACAACTCCCATCTATGACGCCTAATTTGTTTCTGGCTGAGAGTGTTATAAGCACTGACCTTCTACATTCTTGGAAGCCTCTTCCATCAAATGGTAAGTTGACAATGATCATACCAGGTGCATCTGAAGAGTGTAGAAAATAAGAATGATTTGTGTCATGATTTGGTCCATTGTTGGATGAACCAGAGGCAATAACAGCAACATGAGTCTCTCTTCCAGTCATGATTCAGTGATTGAATTGAAAAAGAAAATTTGAGAGAGAGATTGAATGGATCGAGCTACTGCTCTAATACCATGAAGAAATGTAAAGCAGATTTGTGAAAATTTCTCTGTATTATTTCATCACTGTGTATCAATATTTATACAAAAAGCTAATCTAACAAGAAAGAGAAAAATCTAATTATCTGTACACTTGTACAAATTCTATTGCTAGTCCTATAACAGAAAAAACAATAATATTTTCTTGCAATGTATTAACATGTGCTTCTCACGTGAGAGAAGCTTCCTTTATATTCTCTTGTTCCAACTGTCCAGAATTGTTAATCAAACGGTTGAGATTTAAATTGACTTGGATGGTCAAGATATATCCATGTGTAAAATCAAAAGGGCCCAAATAAGAGAGACACCATAGAGATGTCTGTACCCTATTTATTGTGTCTCAAACCCGTCTGCTTCTCCTTCTCTTCTTTAACCACAAATGTCTTCTTTGAAGGTTCTGCAGAGAAATTATCATAGGGCCAATTTGTCCATGGATCAAATATCTTTGGATACTAGGTGTTGTGGCGTACGTAGGATTTTATATAAGCAGTGTCATAATTTGAAGAAAAATAGTAAAATGAATAAAAAATTATTATGACAAGCGATGTCTTTTTATATATGTATCACTCAGTATTTTTATTTTTTTTATAAATATCTAGTGAAAAATTTCGACCGATGGTATAAAGTGCACACGCCCCCTGACTAAATGTAGTCATTGTAGTGACCTAGTATCCAAAGATATTTGCTTTTTTCCATAGGTTGCTACTCGAAATGAGTGTACTGACATATATATAAGTACACACGCCCCTTTTTAATTTATATGGTGTAGTTTGACTGAGCACAGAGCTTAGCGTACGCATGGTGTTCTTCAGCTCAATGTTACTGTAGATGGTGAAAATGTTGACATTGTGCTATTTACATGAACAAGTTTAATTAACTGGTGCTGAAAACAAAGTGGAGCAGGACAGAATTACAATTGTGGAGCTCCAAATTTAACTAGTAAAGAAATTGTTTTCTTCCCCTAAATTTTATAGTTATTCTTAATAAGGTAATTTATAGTCTTACATATTTATGATTTATTTTAAATCAAAAATTTTAAAATTCTTTCTTTCTTAAATTTCAATCCAGGCATAAATGGGACGGAGGGAGTATGACTATTATAGAGTTTTTATTTTTATTTATTTAAATATTCGAATAAATATTTAAATATTTTTCAAGATGCTAATAACATGTTTGGCCAATCTTCTTCAAATCCAAAAGCACATTTTTTCCAAAGTTGTAGTGTTTGACCAAGTTTTTAGAAGAAAAAAAATGCTTTTGAGCAGAAACAAAAACAGTTTTGGAGAAACAGAAAAATAATTTCTCTCCAAAAATACTTTTTTTAAAAGCACTTTTATGAAAAATACACTTATAAGCAGTGTTTAAAAGATTGGTCAAACACTAATTGTTGTTCAGAAGTGTCTTTCAAATTAATTAGCCAAACACAAATTAATTCTGGCCGAAAGTACTTTTAAAAAAAGTATTTCGTATAATAGGCTGATTTCAAACAAGTTGTAAGGAGAAGTTTGACTTTTGTTTGATTTATTAGCTCTCCCATTAACTTTTATTATTAGAAATTTCTGAGTAAGAGTTTGGTTGACTTAGCTATCCCATCAAAGAAGCTTCTTTCCCAATTCCAAGCTTACGGTCTTTTTTTTCTTTTCTATAAATGGATAGTTCATATTTTAGCAACTTTAATCAATTAATTTTTGCCATGGATTATTTTCGTTTATTGCCAGAAGGTTGCATATCGGAAATTCTCTCTTTTACTTCTCCAAAAGATGCTGTTAGTTCCTCAGCTATCTCACGAGGATTCAAGTCTGCTGCTGAATCTGACGTCGTTTGGGAGAAATTTTTGCCCTCTGATTATCAACATATTATCTCTAAATCAGACTCACTCTTGGTTTCTTCTTCCAAAAAAGAGCTTTATTTTAGTCTCTGCGACTCCCCAATTCTCACTGATGGCGGCAAACTGGTATGATTTTTTCGTTTCTATCTAACCTTTGGTTCTTTTCTTTTCTTATCTTTTTTTCCTTCCTTCTTTTTGTGTTTTGCTTGTTATCGCTGAGTAATTGAAATCTGATTTAGCCTAAGGCTTTGGGTTTAGTGAGAAAAAACTGAAATTGTGGCTAATTCCTAAATAGCCGCCCTTTAAAGTGGATACATGGTGTCATTTCTGCACAAAAACTTGGAATATAAGTGGGGAAAGTGGAAGAAATTTAAAAATAGCCAGATTTACAAGTGGTAATTAAAAAATAGTCACAGTTTCAAAAGTAATTCTTGTAAAGATAAATCTAAACGAAAACATTGTTCAAAATTCGGAAATATTCCAGCATAATATACTCGAGTTCCAGTATAATATACCGGTCCAGCATAATATGCTGGAAGTTCATACACATGTGCTCCAATCTCCAGTATATTATGCTGTAACTTTCCGCGTGTTGGAGTTCCACCATAATATACTGGAAGTTCATATACAGGTGCACCAATCTCCAGTATATTATGCTGGACCGGTCAGTGTTGCAGCAAAATAGTGGTTATTTTTCAATGACTTTGCAAACGCTGGCTATTTTTGAATTACCAGTCCGAAAACTGGTTAGCCCGTGCTATTTTTACGGGGAAAGTAGAAGAGCGAGCCCATTAATCTACCTAGTTTCAAGGTATTTTTTCACTACTATCCCGCCCCAGAAATTATTTATATTTTCGGTAGTCAAAAAAGTGTATAAATTTGAATAAATTTGTATAAAAAAATACCAAAAATATATATTTTTCGGCTTTTATTTTGAGAGCAGTTATACAATGTCATTTTCCCTAGTTTTGAAACGTGTGGATTAGTTGACCCTCGAAAATTACTCAGTTATCGGAAAAGACTCCAATTTAGTATAACCAGTACTATGCAATCGATTAAAATGTATAACTGGTCTTACATTTTGCCGGATTGTTAATCAATGAACTTGGTGATTTCTATGTGATATTGTGAAGTGGTCTAGCAGTTCTTTTTGGTTTGTTTTTAATTCCAGATGTTTCGTGTATCTGTGATTTGATATGTCAAATAGAGTTTTTCACTGGATAAGAAGACTGGGAAAAAATGTTTTATGGTGGCAGCAAGAGAACTTGGTATTACATGGGGTGATACACCACAGTATTGGGAATGGTTACCTCACCCGGACTCCAGGTTTTATATTTTCTTCGATTAATGGAGATTATACATCTCGATGGAAAAGCTGGCCTCATTGTTCAAGGAATGGAGTTTCGTCCGGAGGAGGAGGAAGAAGAAGAAGAAGAGGAGGAGGAGGAGGAGGAGGAAGGAGGTAGAGGAAGACAGTTTTGAAGAACAAGTAGACCATTTGTGAAGAACGAGTAGACTGTTAAGTTGGAAAATGGTATTTGCAATTTGAAATTATGTTTGGATATGTATTTCACTTGAAAAAATGTTTGTAGTTTTGTGAGTGGGGAAAAAAAAATGAAAATTTTACGTCAAAATCACCTTTTGATTTTTGTAAATCTCATTTTTGAAAAAGTTTTAAAAATTTTATGGACAAACACATTTTTGAAAAATAAAATCGAAAAAGAAATTTTTTTTTATGGACAAACGGGTCCTAAGAGTATAGATGTATTTATCTTCTTCAATTGCTTTTCTCAAGTCTATCTACCTATCATGCATGGCATCGGCTTAGTTCTGCACAGCTTTGCAAAAGTGTAAGGAGAAGTTCCGTACAGTATATCACATAAAATAATATAATACTCCCTCCGTTTCAATTTAATGTACAACTTAAACTAATATGATCATAGCAATATATTTTCCCATGGAGTTTTTTCAGTCTCTGCCAGAAGGTTGTATATCGGAAATTATCTCCTTAACGTCGCCGAAAGATGCTGCTATATCTTCAGCTATCTCGCAAACATTTATGTCTGCTACAGAATCCAACATAGTTTGGGAGAAATTTTTTCCGTCTGATTATCAAGATATTATATGAGACAAAAGATTCAAGAAAACATAAGTAAAAGGATCTCTACTTCAGGAACATGAATAACCATTTGGTCTCCATCAAAATCGGTATTGAATCCCTTGCAAATTAATGGATGTATACAAATAGTGCGATGTTAACCGATTGGTCATAGGTTCGAAATGTAAGGTAATGTTGCGTACGATAAACCCTTGTAGTTCGATCCTTCCCCGTATCCCGCGCATAGCGAGAGTTTAATGCACCGAGCTGCCCTTTGCTTAGCAGCAGCCCAATGTTTAACTTTGTAAATCTGCTCATGTAAATAAAGTGTCTGACACCAACAATAAGAATTCATTATCTTCGACAAATGTATAAAGGGGCACTGTGTGATTTGGATCAACCAATAAAAAACATCATCAAAGACTCACTCTGGCTTGTTTGTTAGCAGGTAGTATCTTCACACTTGTACAGGAATGTTTGTATCTTTTGCATCATTACCATAAATTCCAATTTTCTTACTCTTTGAGATATTTCCTGACATAACAACCAAAAAGGAGATGGAGAAAAGTTCAGATATGAAAGGGTAAAGTATGAATTGATCTCCCAATAGTAAGTTTCAACAAATAGAAATTTTAACTAACCTGCTTTTAAGTATTCTGTTGCGCTTATAGTTTTCTTAACAGTCAATACTGCGGTTCATCACCCCATGAAATAGCAAGTTCCCTTGCTGCCACCATATAACATTTCTTCCCTGTTTTCTTATCCAGTGAAAAACTCTATTTGACAAATCAAATCACAGATACACAACAAATCAGAAATTAAAAACAAACAAAAGAATAAGAGAATAAAAAGGAGGTCCTCGACCATTTCTACAACTACATGAAAAGGAAACCTGGATGCAGAGACAGACCCAGGATTTGAAGGCGGCGGGGCACATGAGCTAACTGCTCAACGAGTGCCCCATCGGACTTCTGATCTTAAGGATTTCAGGCAAAATATTTGACTGTTTTCAATATATATATATATATATATAGAATTTTTGCGAGATTAAAAGGGTCGGGTGACCCCTCTTCTCTATACTAGATCTGCCTCTGCGGCTGGACGTAGACCACTCAACACCCCTTATGAATTAAAAACAGAATCTTTTGACCCTTAAGGTTAAATAGGATAGAAGATATAGTACCAGTTTGCCTCTATCAATGAGAATTGGGGAGTCACAGAGGCTAAAGTAAAGGTCTTTCTTGGAAGGAGAAACCAAGAAAGAGTCTGATTTAGAGATAATATCTTGATAAGGTCTGGATACACACTACCCTCCCTAGACCCCACTTGTGGGATTTTACTGGGTCGTCGTCGTTGTTGTTATCATTGTTGTTGTAATGTCAGATTCAGCAGCAGATTTGAATCCTCGCGATATAGCAGACATACCAGCAGCATCTTTGGCGAAAGTGAAGGAGAGAATTTCTGATATGCAACCTTCTGGCAATAAACGAAAATAGTCCATGGCAAAAATGAATTGATTAAAGCTGCTGCATTTGAACTATGTATTTGCTTTGTTGTTTGTTACGTATAACTGAATCAAGAAATATCACATTTCTAGATATTTGTAATCTATAATAGTAACAATTTAGGAAATAAATTTAAATCTTGGATCCTAGTTTTACTCTTACCAAAATTGTCTATTTTGTTTCTTCACTCACCAAATGCGACAGACACTAATAAAGTTGTTACCGGAATTAATGACAATGACTAATATCTACAAACAGCAAAATGTTAACCATAAATCTGCATTTTGAGTTAATAATCAACCTCAAGGGCAAAGCGAGGCTCGAAATATATGACACTTTGGATTATAGGGAAACCAAAGCAGATGAATTAGAAGCTTCCTCTAGCCAAATGATGTACTTGTACAAATTGAACCAACAGTCACCTAATATAAATAAATTACAGGGAATTTGATCTCCTCTGTTTCTTGCTAATGTTAGATAAGAAAACTTAATATTATATCGAACAGTTATATGGCAACAGGAGCTAAGACAAGGAGTTGTTCATATAGCAAATCTTTTGGTGAGAAGGAGGGCGCGAATCCAAGATTTAAAATCTATGAGTTCAACTTTTAAGATTTTTAGTATTGAACCTATTATCTTTTTAAAGAAATATTGAATCTAATAGTTAGGATGTCAGAGAGAAACCATGCAATACCAGACACCGGATAGATCTTTTACATGAAAAGACATACTTCAACATCTCTATCCTCTCCGCTATCATTGAAAAAGTTACCCATTTTTATTTCTGTCCATCCGTCAACTCTTCTTTGAGCATTAGATCCACTAATTCTCCCGACTTTTTGTTGTTCCTCAGCCTCGTTGTCGCTCTCGCAATTGACAAATCTAACAACTCAATTGACACTTCCAAATCCGTCAAATGCATCTTGCACTTTGTACACCAGATAAACAACATATGTTGTTCTCTTTGACACAATTTTACTTGCAATCTTGCCACGGATATTAAGCCTTCGGAAAAATGGGAAATGACTCACTTCTGAGAACCTGCAAAAATTTATTTTGATCAATATCTGTCTGTATATGGTGTCCAAATTTACTTTTAATCTTCTGCAAAGAGATTTTTTTGATGTTAGAGTGTCATTTCTTGTTAATTTAATTAACTAATTCCTCTTAATATAAATTCATCAACAGAAAAAACAGAATACCTGGATTCTGCCCAATACCACGGTGTATAGACGTTCCCCGTTGAAAAATTCAAGTTCTCTTGCTGCCACCATAAAACAATTCTTTCCGGTCTTCTTATCCAGTAAAAACCTCTATTTAGGAGATGAAATTTTGAACAGAAATCACGTTAGCGAGGAAAACACATGTTTCTGAGTAAAAGAAAAAACGGTATTCTGGTGCACAATGTATCCTGTGTTCACGCAGGGTACGGGGAAGTGCCGAAGTCTAAGGAGTGTGATGTAGACAACCTACCCTAATGCAAGAGTTAGTGGCTGCTTCTACAGCTCGAACTCATGACCTATAGGCCACGCGCAAACAACTTTACCGTTGCTCCAAAGATAAGTCCTACGACCCGAGGTTATCAAGAAGAGAGGATGGATCATACCAGTTTGCCTCCGTCAAGGAGAATTGGAGAGTTACAAAGACTAAAGTAAAGTTCTTTCTTCGGAGAATGATCCAACAAAGAGCTTGATCTACAAATAATATGTTGATAATCAGAAGGCAAAAGATTCTCCCAAACAACGTCTGATTCAACAATAAACTTGAATCCTCGCGATACAGCTGAAGATGTAACAGTGTCTTTCCGCGATGTTAAGGAGAAAATTTGTGATATGCAACCTTCTGGCAGTGACAGAAAATACTCCATGGAAATTTCACTTGATTAGTGTTGCTGAATTAATTTGGACTGCTTATATTGAAAACAAATGCAAGATTTTAAACTATGAAAACAAATGCAGAGCTGTTTTGTTTGTTAGTTTGTGGTTAATAATTGTTATAGATTCGAATATATTAAGGGGATACCTGATGACAAAACCAAAGTCTTTCTCAGAATGTATTAACGGGACAGCTAAGTAAACCAAAGTCTTTCTTAAAAACT